GATGACAACAGTGTGATAATGCGTTTGTCATGCCACCGAAATGCCATGATGTCATTGGCAGCAGACGCCTGCACCTCACCTCTACGAATGCCAGTGTCAAACCTGGGCATATGTTTACGATTTCCATGCACTGTGCCACACACATCTGTCATGTTCACTCGCAAGAAATCACTGAGTAAGGGGCTTGTGTACCAGTTATCAGTATATAATGTATGTCCCCTGCCAAGATATGGTTTCACCATTGTTCTAACCACATCATCGGAGATACCCAGTAACTTCCTGGTATCTCGCAATGTATTACTTCCAGTGTACACAATTACAGTGTATATCCAATACAAGACCACTGTAACAGTCACAAAGTACAAACAACTTTATACCAAAGTGTTTCCTCTTGCTTGGTATATACTACTTGAATGAGAGTCTTCCTTTGAACAGAATCAAAGACTCATCAATAACAAGCTTCCTGAAGGGATAAAAATACATATTGAATTTCTGTTTCAGATACACAAACACATTCCTAATCTTATATAACCTGTCGTTTCTGCCAGGCCTGGTTTTATCTGAAAAGGCGGACTGTTGAACAGTATGATTTCACATTGTGCTTATACACATGTGGCATAAGCATTATTGTGGCAAACAAAAGCTACATCTCAGCCACAGTTGTCTCCTTCCACTGGTGTAGGCGTGAGTTTGGTGAAAGTATTGTGTTTGCCATGGTGTACTCGTAGTATCTGTTGCTTTCCCTGACAATAATTTCCATCAGGGGTTCGTCAAAGAATAACTCGAAACATTCCAGTTCACTGCCATTGTTCCCAAGTGTACAAGATGGCCGTATTCCACTTTGGCTTTCATCAAACTGATCGGGATTCGGAACAAAATTGGCAGCTTCCTGCCAATCCCAGATGCGGTCTGCTGGTGGGTACTAGATATTGACAGGTGGTTGTGGTTGTGGAGGTTGTGGTTGTGGAGGCTGGTGTGGTGGGTGGGTGGGGGATGGTGGCCATTGTTGTAGATCAGCTGAGGCAACGGTGTGGGTGGTAGTGTGGGTGGCAGCATGGCCCACTGCTGGTGCCTCATGGCCGGCACCACCACTACCACCACCATGCACATTTTCCATCCCAATTGCAACACTATCATCATCATTTTCACTGTCTGTTCCTGTTGTACAGCCACAGGATATACTCCAAGATGTACTCCTTCTCCTTGGAATAGCACATGGCACACTACCAGAGCGCATATACCATCGTATATACTGACACTTCACTGGAGAATACTCCACTTCACTATCACTACTGGAACTGTTTTCAAGAGCTTGTAGTTCATATTCACTATCACTATCATCACCAATGTTCACATCTGAGTCCGAGATTTGGGAAAATAGGAGTTTCCTCTTTGATTCTGGTACAACTGAACGTGAACAAGACGTCCCAGCACCAGAGGTGGAAGGCTGAGGGTTGTCTGGGTTTTCCTCACTATTACTGGTATTATGGTCATTAGTTTCGGTTACAACCTCATCAAAACCTTGAAACTCATCTTCACTGGCACTTCCATCTGTATTAGAACTGTCACTGGGGAACAAAAGTGTCCCAATACGCCAAGGAGTGAGGAGCTTCTTACCGCGAGGCATGGTGAACAAGGTCTACTAAAATGGCATTCCCACAATGCGCCACTGGGTCCCAGAATTTTTTTCTACCATGCACACCAACCACACAGACCCATTCTCTCACATCTAGGCCTACTGGCTGTTTTCCGCTTAATTTGAAGCAGCTAAAATTTATGCGTACTAGTACGGTGCGCAAGCTGTACTAGTACGGCACCAACCCTGAAAGGATTATCTGTCATTCACTTTAAGAGGGTCCGCTTTATAGGACCTTTACTGTATACACGTTTATGAGATACAGTGTGCAGTGACAGTGGTTGCCTAAATTATGTATTCGTAGTTAAAAAGTTGATGGGAAGACTTTTGGATGTTCATATTTTTAGAAAAGCAACTAATATGTCAGATCATTATTTAGTGGTACCTACAGTAGGTGGAATACAGGGAGAATAGTGCCAGTGGGTAAGAGAGAAGGGAAAGTAAATGAACTACAGGTATTTAGGTAATGAGGAGGAGGTTAAGTAAGGTTTGTCAGGAAACAGGACATGTGTTTCCTAACTTGGGTCTTAGTCATATGATGACCTGCAGCTGGAGCTTTTGACCAAGGCCTTCCACTGGCTTACTGGTCCACTCCTTTAAAAATTATTGTTATGATTACAGTGGACTCTTGATTTTTGTCGATCTTGGTTATCGCTGATTTTAGTTTTGGCCTACTTTTTTTGTCGATTTTTGGCTTTAGTTGTCTTCGATTACCTCCGTTTTCATTGATCGCATGGAACCTGACCAGTCCCCAGCGCACACACAAAGCCGCTTCCCTCACACATTCTCAGCCAGTGTAGTGTTGTTTCTTGGTCAGTGAACACATCCTGCCAGGTAATACGAAACATTTCATAATAATCCATTGTTTTTACCACTTGTTTATCATGTGTGACTGCTAAATAAGTGACCATGGCCCCAAAGAAAGCTCCTAGTGTCAGTGCTTTGGTAAAGAAAGTGAGGAACACTGTAGAACTGAAAAAAGAAATCCTCAGAAAATATGATAGTGGCATACGCATTGCTGAACTCGGCAGGATGTACGGGAAGTCGCCATCAACAATCAGCTCCATTGTGACAAAGAGAAAGGAAATTATGGAAGCTGATGTTGTGAAAGGGTTGAATGCAATAACCAAACGGAGATCCCAAACAATTGAAGAAGTGGAGAAATTGTTGTTGGTGTGGATAAGAGAGAAAGAGTTAGCAGGAGATAGTGTTGTGCAGCCCATTATTTGTGAAAAGGCAAGGCAGTTGCATGAGGATCTCATAAAGAAACTGCCTCAAACAAATGGTGATGAAAGTGAATTCAAGGCCAGCAAAGACTGGTTCAAAAATTTCAAGAAGCGAAGTGGCATACACAGTGTTGAAGGCACTGTGAGGGTGCCAGTTCAGACAAACAAGCGGCTGAAAAATTTGTGCGGGATTTCAAATGTTATGTAGAGTCTGAAAAATTCCAACCCCAGCAAGTGTTCAATTGTGATGAAACAGGCCTGTTTTGGAAGAAAATACCAAAGAGAACCTACATCATGCAGGAGGAAAAGGCACTCCCAGGACACAAGGCTATGAAACACAAGCTAACTCTCTTGTTGTGTGGTAATGCTAGTGGGGATTTCAAAGTGAAACCTTTATTCATGTATCACTCTGAAAATCCAAGAGTGTTCAAGAAAAACAGTGTTGTCAGGAGTAAATTGTGTGCGATGTCGAAGGCTAACAGTAGGGCATGGGTCACAAGGGAAATTTTCCTGGAGTGCTTTAATGAAGTGTTTGGCCCCAGTGTGAAAAAAATACCTCCTGGATAAGAAATTTTATTTATTTATTAATTTGAACATGATACAGAGAAGTACAAGGAATACAATTTTTAAAGTGCAGCATGCCAAAGCCCCTTATATGCAGAGCATTATGGGCAGGCTTAAAATTAACTTAAGATTAACTAAGCAATGATATATTCAGCAGTACAAAAATTATTGTAAAACAGATAATTTAGTACAAATGAGTATTACAAAGACAGGTCATATGGTCATTTACTGTGTTGCTGTGTAATCAGTAGAATGGAGTATTGTGTTAGGCAATGAAGTTAAATAGTAACAAAGTTTGATTGGGTCACAGGTTGACATTTATGAGATACAATAATGAGATACATATAAGTTTGGAGGATGTGGAAGAGTTGGTGGAGGACCACAATGAAGAGCTAACCTCTGATGAGCTGCAAGAGCTTCATCTGCAACAGCAGCAGACCACAGCTGAGGAAATTGATTCAGAGGAAGAGGAGGAGGAAGAGAGATGGAAGAAGGTGCCTTCTTCAAAGATTAAGGAGATTTGTGCAATGTGGACTGAAGTGCATTCATTTGTGGAGGAACATCACCCTGAGAAAGCTGTTGCAATCCGTGCTGGTGACTTTTACAATGACAATGCCATGTCCCATTTTAAGCAAATCTTAAAGAAACGCCAGAAACAGACCTATCTGGACAGATATTTTGTGCCACAGGGGCCCAGTGACTCTCAAGCTGGTCCTAGTGGCATTAAAAAAACAAAGGAGGGAAGTGACCCCAGATAAGGACTTTGTACCTAGAGTCCTTATGGAGGGGGATTCCCCTTCCAAAGAATAACCTCTCTTCCCTCTCCCCTCCTCCCTGTCTTCCTTCCAGGTACAACAGCCTTCAATAAAGGTAAGTGTCATGTTTAATGTTCATTCTTTTGTGCATGTAAATGTATATTTAAGGTAAAAAGACATTTTTTTGTTGATACTTCTGGGTGTCTGGAACGGATCAATTCCATTTACATTATTTCTTATGGGGAAAATGGTTTTGGTTTTGGCTGATGACTCTGGAACGGATTAAACACGAAAACCAAGGGTCCATTGTATCACCATTTTATTGTAGAAAAATGAGGAGGAGGTCAAAGAGGTATGGTAATTAAGGATACTGTGCTAAAGTATGCAGCATCTTGGAAGCATGTGTAAGCCTGTTAAATTGGAATGCGTGAAGACAAGTGGTTTTAGAGATTTAATGTTCTGGTAAAGTTTGAGTACTATAACATTCAGAAAGGGATTCAGGGAAACCAGTTGACCAGACTCAAGTCTTGAAGGTGGGAAATACTATGAAAGAGGGGTGGTGACGTCACAGCTCAATGGGTCATTTTATTTGTGCTATCAGCATCCAGTGATTATGTGTGAATGATGGTGAAAGTGATTCTTTCTTTTTTGGTGGGAGATGGCTGACATGTTAAAAAAAAAAAATTGGTGTCCCTTTATTAAGACAGGTATGGGATGAATGATGGTGAATGTTTCTCTTCCTGGATTGCACTTCCTCTGTGTATTAAATATACTAATTGTTTTAAAATTCCTTCTTATATAATTTTAGTGTTTTTTCAGATCGACTTGTTGAAGCAAGAGTTGTCTTAGAACGTATTCGCCCATTGGAAGATAAACTGAAATATCAGATAGACAAACATGTGAAAGTAAGTATTGTATAATGTAAAAATTTCATTGTATGAATCTACAGGGCATTAAAAGTTGAGTTTGATTGTCAGTAATGTTTTTTAGTTTACTGGTACTTCCTAAGTGGCTAGTTTATTACCCCATGCTCCTCCTGTGAGAGATAGTGTAAAAATCAGGATTACAGAGGTCACAATGGGTTTTTTGTCATACCCCACTGGGCGTTGTTACATCACTAAAAAGAAATATTAGTCGTCATATTTTACATTTACTTCATATAGTTAACCCTTTCAGGGTCTAAGGCCAAAATCTGAAGTGGTGCCCCAGTGTCCAAGAAATTCTGAAAAAAAAAAAAAATTATTTTTCTTACAGAATTAAAGATAATATTTTTGTGAAGGTAATAAAACAATTTTTTTTTTTTCTGATCAGTATTTCCCAAGATACAGCGCCGGGAAGTTGACCCAAAATGACCGGGTGGCGGCAACATCAGAGACTTCAGCAAAATCGCATTTTTTTTTTTTTTTACCTTTTTTATACCTTTTTCTTTTCTTTTCTATATTTTTTCTTTTTCTAGTAACATTTGTGGCCTGTGAGACCAATACGGTGGTCCCTCGTTTATCGTAATTAATCCGTTCCTGGAAGTGTTACTATTATCGAAATTTACAATTTTCGAATCAATTTTCCCCATAAGAAATAATGTAAATACAATTAATCCATTCCTGACACCCAGAAGTACTAAAACAAAAAAATTTTTTACATGAGATATAGATGTAGTACATAAACAATACAATGGGACATGATGAATGAAACATTAACAGCATAACACTTACCTTTATTGGTGATTCTTCTTAGTGTATGGAAGACTGGAGGAGGAGAGAGATTGGATTTATTTATCAACACCTCAGGTACCAATTGCTTTTCTGGGGTTACTTCTCTGTTTCTTAATGCCATTAGGACCAGCTTGAGAGTCACTGGAGTCCTGTCTCGCAAAATAACTGTCCAGAGAGCTCTGTTTCTGGCGTCTCTTTAACACTTCCCTAAAATGGGCCAAGACTTTGTCACTGTACATGTTGCCAACATGGCTTGCAACATCCTTGTCAGGGTGATGTTTCTCTATAAATCTTTCCATCTTCCCCCACATTTCAAAAATTTCCTTAATTTCTGAAGAAGGCAACTTCTTCCATCTCTCTTCCTCCTCCTCTGCAGCAAGATTCTGAGCTGCGATCTGTTGCTCTTCCTGCTGAAGCTCTTGCAGCTCCTCAGTGGTGAGCTCTTCGTTGTGGTCTTCCACCAACTCTTCCACATCCTCCAAACTCACATCCAACCCCATGGAACTCCCCAGTGCCACAATAGATTTAACAACTGACATAGGCTCATCTGGGTCAGCCCCAAACCCTTCAAAATCCCTCTTGTGGAAACAATCTGGCCACAATTTTCTCCAAGCAGAGTTCAAAGTCCTGGTAGTCACTCCCTCCCAAGCCTTACCTATAAGGCTTATGCAATGGAGGATGCTGAAGTGTTCTCTCCAAAAATCTCTTAGAGTCAAGTGAGTGTCTGAGGTCACATTCAAACACCTTTGAAACATTGCTTTGGTGTAGAGTTTTTTAAAGTTTGCAATGACCTGCTGGTCCATGGGCTGGAGGAGAGGAGTGGTATTCGGGGGCAAGAACTTTACTGTGAACCCAAACTCCTCAAAAATTAGGTCATCCAAGTTTGGAGGATGAGCAGGTGCATTGTCCATTACTAGGAGGCACTTGAGATCCAATTTCTTTTCCAGGAGGTAATTCTTCACACTAGGGCCAAACACTTCATTGAACCACTCGACGAAAATTTCCCTTGTGACCCATGCCTTACTATTAGATTTCCAAAACACACACAATTTACTCTTCATAACATTGTTTTTCCTGAACACTCTGGGATTTTCAGAATGGTACACTAGTAACGGCTTCACTCTGAAATCCCCACTAGCATTAGCACAGAACATGAACATCAGCCTGTCTTTCATAGGCTTGTGTCCTGGCAGTGCCTTTTCCTCCTGAGTAATGTAGGTCCTTTTTGGCATTTTCTTCCAAAAGAGGCCTGTTTCATCACAATTGAACACTTGTTCAGGTTTCGGTCCTTCAGCCTCTATGTACTCCTTGAATTCATGCATGTATTTTTCAGCCGTTTTGTGGTCCGAACTGGCAGCCTCACCATGCCTTACCACACTGTGTATGCCACTATGATTCTTAAATCTCTCAAACCAACCTTTGCTGGCCTTAAATTCACTCACATCACCACTAGTTGCAGGCATTTCTTTACCAGATCGTCTTGCAACTGCCTTGCCTTTTCACAAATAATCGACGTCATAAGACTATCTCCTGCTAATTGTTTCTCGTTTATCCACACCAATAATAACTTCTCAACCTCTTCGAGTACTGGTGATCTCATTTTTGTCAGCATATTTACCCCTTTGTAGCAACAGCATCCTTGTTATTCTTTTTCTTGGCCACGATGGAAGCTATGGTTGTATGGGGTTTGTTATACATCCTGGCCAGTTCGGCCATACGTACTCCACTTTCATATTGTTCAATGATGTTTTTCTTAAATTCAATCGTATTTCTCACCTTCTTTACCAAAGGCTTGGCACTAGGAGCTTTCTTTGGAGCCATGGTAGCTTATTTAGTAGTTGCAAGCACTAAAATGAATGGAATATTATGAAATATTTCGTATGAGCAAGTGAGGGGACCGTTGCTCACCGGTAAACAATGCCACACTGGCTGGGAATGGAGGCCGGGGCGGCTCAGAGCGTGAGTATGTGTCCCGGACGAATGACTGTTCACGAGTCAATCTACAATTAGAGAGCCAATGTTTTGACGAAAATATCGTTACGATTTCCGAAAATTACGACTAGCGAGCCCTACGATTATCGAGGGACCACTGTATAATGTATACTGTATAAGTGTACACTCATTGTATTCAACACAATAACTGCACTAATTTGTTTATCATTATATTGCTTAAAAAACTTGTTTACAAGTTTATTGTAAACAAAATGATGAAAATATTAGTGCGGTTGTTGTGTTGAACACAATGGTACCATATAGTACCATATGGTACAATGGTACCATATGATACAATGGTACCATATGGTGCAAAGGTACCTTATGGTACCATATGGTGCAGTGGTACCATATGGTACATTGTACCATACAGTACAATGATACCATATGGTTCATTGTACCATATGGTACTATATGGTACTATATGGTACTGTTGTATTCAACACAATAAACACACTAATATTTTCATCATTATTTTGTTTACAATAATTGTTTACAACAAAAATATGCAAAAATGTTGTATATTAGTAATGTTCTATTATATATTTACAAATGTACAGCCACTCGACATGTTCCTTGAGGTGGATGACAAAGCACTTAGTCTTGGAAACTGCTGAGTCAGTAGCTAGCTTGCGTCGCCACTCACTTAGTCTTGGCTGGTGTCTCATGCCACCAACACCTCCTGTTGACCATATGGTACATGGTATCATATGTTACAGGGTACCAGAAACTGCTGAGTCAGTAGCTAGCTTATGTCGCCACTCACTTAGTCTTGGCTGATGTCTCATGCCACCAACACCTCCTGTTGACCATATGGTACATGGTATCATATGTTACAGGGTACCATATGGTACATTGTACTATATGGTATAGGGTACCATACAGTACAGGATAACATATGGTGCAGGGTACCATATGGTGCAGGGTACCATATGGTACAGGGTACCATAAGGTACAGGGTGCCATACGGCACAGGGTACCATAAGGTACAGGGTACCATATGGTACAGGACACCATATGGTACAGATACAGGGATAACTATGGAAATAAGTGAACCTGACTTTTTTGGGCTATCCTAGTTTTTTTTTTACATATGCTGCTATGTATGATAATCCATGTAATTGTATTTCTGTACACCTGAATAAACTTACTCAAGCGCATGTGGCATCGTAAGTGAGTTTATTTAGGTATACACAAATAAATTTACATAGAATATTATACTTAGCAGCATATGTTTGGAGAACCTAGGATAACCCAAAAAAGTCAGACAGACGTATTTCCATTAGGGTCCCTGAACCCTGTGCTATATGGTATAATGTACCATATGGTATAATGTACCATATGGTATAATGTACCATATGGTATAATGTACCATTACCTGGAGTTTACCTGGAGAGAGTTCCGGGGGTCAACGCCCCCGCGGCCCGGTCTGTGACCAGGCCTCCTTAGGTCAGTGTCCCAGGATGCGACCCACACCAGTCGACTAACACCCAGGTACCCATTTTACTGATGGGGAACATAGACAACAGGTTGAAAGAAACACGTCCAATGTTTCTACTCTGGCTGGGAATTGAACCCAGGCCCTCGCCGTGTGAAGCGAGAGCGTTAACCACCAGGCCACCAGAGCCCTACCATATGGTACAATGTACCATATGCCACATTGTATCATTGTACCACATGATACCATTGTATGACACGGCACCTTTGTACCATATGGTACCATCGTACCATATGGTACCATTGTACCATATGGTACAATGGTACCATATGGTTCAAAACCATAGAATTCCTCTTCAGCTCCACTTCCATCAGTCTTAGAACTGTAAGTTGTGAAGAGGAGAGTCAGAATTCGCCTGGAGAGTGAGTGGGGAGTGAGAGCTTCCTTGCCGCCAGGCATGATGAACAAAGCTACTTTGCTGGTGTTCCCACAATGCCATGTGGGCGTCCAAATTTTTTCTATAGTGCGCACACTGACCACCCAGACCCATTCTCTCAGATGTAGGCCTACCTGCCTTCTTGTGCTAAATTTGACGCCGCTAGAATTTTGGCATAGATCTACGGTTTGGACCCTCAATGTAAAGCTGTAGATCTACAGCACAGACCCTGAAAGGGTTAATGTACACAATACATTATGGAATACAATCTCCAAAAAAAAAAAGAAAAAAAGAAAATGATATCTTATTACTGTTATGTTTTGCATTCCTGTCGCTTCATATTAGCATTGCTGTAATAAAAGACAAAATTTTATTACACAAATAACCCACACATAGGAGATTGAAACGTAATACAGCCTCTCAATCTGACTTGGACCATTGACTAGTCACATAGATGCACGAGGGGAAGGGAACCAGTATATATACAAGAGGGGGCAGGGTCAGGAGTAGTAGAACAAGAGGAGGTAGTAGTACAAGTACTCCTCATGTAACGACCTACTTGTTTAATGACCACTCGAACTTATGACCAGCTCTCCAACCACTATGAAAACCTAAGTAATGTATTAGAGCTGATTTCCTCTATTCTATTTATTACAGTATAGAGTACACTACTGTATAAACATTTAAAAATATGCTAAAAATGTTATAAATGGTGCAAAGGTGACATAAAAATAATATGTAAAGATGGTTGATACAAACCCACTACCAGTACAGTATGCTTCTCATTTAATGACCCATTCACTTACCGACCTACTCTTAGAAGCGAAACTCGGTCATTAAGGGAGGAGTACCTGTATATTGTTTCTTCTTACTTTATAAGTGTTAATTTTATTATTCCAGACAGCTGCAGACGGTGTGGTCAGTGCAGATGATACTTTACGGCTGACAGGCAATCTTGATAATATTGTATCATCTTCAGATGATGATGAAGAAAAGGAAGTTACATCAAAAGTCAAGAAAACAGACGATGAGGAACAGAAGATTTACAAAATCCCAAAGATCACCCAGGCTCATTATGGTAAGATATTTTAACTGGCAACTGTTAAGGAAATTTAAGTACCATAAAATTCTTGCATTGCTAAAGACAAGTGCTTTAGTGAAAGTTCTTATTTCTTTTATGTCTTTCTTAAATTGTTGAACTTATGATTTTTAAGCCAGACTTAGCCTAATTTCTGATATATTTTGGCTTTCCAGTAATTTACTGTAATTTAACTTTCAGGAATTGTTAAAAGATCTGGTTAGAATATCAAGACAGTGTAGATGTGCTGGCTATTTACATTGTTTCATTAGAAGTAATGCTAGCACTCTGAAGGATGGATGGGGATGTTACAGTTTGGAGGGCCATTTGAACTGTGATGTCAGCTCCCTTCTCAAGACAGTGATTGAATGAATGACAGTGAAAGGGTTTTCTCTGTCAGGTCACCTTACCTTGGTGGGAGATGGCTGGTGTTAAAAAAAAAAAAAGTCAGTCTGGAACATGTACAGCACAAGTCACCAACCTTTTTGTTCAAGTGGACCACAAAATTTTAAATTTGTATAATGGCCATTTTTCAGAATTGAAGTGAGATGCAGATCTTTCTTCTTCTTTCAACAAACCGGCCGTATCCCACCGAGGCTGGTTGGCCCAAAAAGAAAAACAAAAGTTTCTCTTTTTAAATTTAGTAATTTATACAGGAGAAGGGGTTACTAGCCCCTTGCTCCCGGCATTTTAGTCGCCTCTTACAACACGCATGGCTTACGAAGGAAGAATTCTGTTCCACTTTCCCATAGAGATAAGAGGAAATAAACAAGAACAAGAACTAGAAAGAAAATAGCAGAAAACCCAGAGGGGTGTGTATATATATGCTTGTACATGTATGTGTAGTGTGACCTAAGTGTAAGTAGAAGTAGCAAGACATACCTGAAATCTTGCATGTTTATGAGACAAAAAAAGGACACCAGCAATCCTAACATCATGTAAATCAGTTACAGGCTTTTGTTTCACACTCACTTGGCAGGACGGTAGTACCTCCCTGGGTGGTTGCTGTCTACCAACCTACTACCTACTGAGATGCAGATGTGATTATTTAATGCCCAACATTTCAACCAAAATTAAAGTAAAAATTAACCACAATACTGATTTCATTAGTAAATAAATAAACTTAATATAAAAACTTATTGACTTTTGTGATTGGCTTATGTAATTCTTGATTGGAAATTAACTTTGCTTTGTGTCTGCAGATTAGTCAGTTCTGATGCATCTTGAAGGCCACACAAAATCGGCTAAAGGGTTGAGAGTTGATGACCCAATGTAAAGCAGTGTGACCTGGTATTTTGTTAAATTCATTAACTGTGTGTTAATTTCTGTATTGAATTAATAAATATTAAACAAGTTCAGCCCTCTTATCCCCCTTAGCTGATAATTTAAATTATAATGATGATTATCAGCTAAAGGGGTGGAAGAGGACTGAACCTGTTGAATATTAAAAATTTAATATAGAAATTAACATAGTTAATCACCATATTGATTAGTTATTTTGTGAAACTTAAAGTTTATGAACAAAGTGTCAAGAATGAATACCTTTGATGGGTTTCAAAAACAAATTCTGCTGCAGTACATATTATGCCAGATTTCCCTAGTAATTGATCAAAGCTCTTATTACCTTCAGCATGCAGACCTGCATAACTGTCTCAGCCTGAGTTGATGAGGCACTGCCTGTAGATATTTGTCTAGTTTTCTCTTAAGGATTTCTATTTTTGTACCCTCATTATTTCTTGTAGTACTGTATTTGCTGGAAGACAGTTAAGGTGTTATCAACCTTGAACAGTTATTTTTTCTAACTGTGCTTAATACATCTCTATATTTTATTGGGTGTAACTTAAAATTCTTCTCATATCTAGGTTCCATGCTTGTGAATATTTTTGATTGTGAAATCTCATTTTTTCTATAAAGTATTGTATATTTCAAGGACTTTGGGCTGGACCTAACAGCTCATACATTTTAGTGTTTGTGCTAGCACTAAAGGATATCTGTATACTATATACCTTTGATTTAATTTTACTTGCTTAAATCCCTTGCCTTGAAAGGTGATATTAGAAGAGAGCAGTATTCTTAAAATGAGAACATTGTTTGAATTAATATTTTTACTAGCCCCCTATAATTTTTATGACTTTGGCTGCAATTTCTTTGTTCTGCTCACTAAACATTGTAGGTTTCCTAAGCTCTTTTTACTTGCTCTGAACTAAATTTTTTTTTATCTTCTACTTGTTTTGAGTATTCATTCTTTTTAATTAAAGCAGATGGACTTGATCACAGTAGAAGGCTTATTTTCTGTTGCCAAATGGAAGACTTTATAGTTCTACAGTATTTCGGGGTCTCCTACCAAGTCAAAAAAAAAAAAAAAATATTAATGTACCGGCGGTCTCCCTCAGAGATAGGGTGACCAGAAAAAGACTTTCACTATCATTCATTCTATCATTGTCTTGCCAGAGATGCATAGACACTACAGTTCAAATGTCCCTCCAAACTGCAAATATCCCCACCACTGCTGTATATGCATATGGTATAATTTTGCATTAAACTTGCAGATGGAGAAGCGAAAAAAAATGAAGCAAAGGAAAAAGCCAGGCGTAGAACTCTGAATTCTAGTATGCTGCGTGATGCTCTCTTGGAACACACTGAGGACCCAGAAGTTGTGTACAACAATGATGTCCTCAAGCAGAGGGCCATAAAAAAACGCAGGGAGCTTGAAGTGTAAGACAGCCTTTAGGAGTCCATGAGATAATAATTACACTTAAATGTATCTTATGTTTATATGGTCAATATGTATATGATATATGAATAGTTGTACTTATTCTTACTGCCTTTAAATTTTTTTTCTTTTTCATATTTTTTTTTACTTTAATGTGCCATTATAATCTCTTAAATTTAGTTTTGCATCTTGTGTAAAATATTCATTTTGTGTTCAGACCAATACATACAGCCTCTCCTCACTTAACGATGGAGTTCCGTTCCTAAGACCACGTCAGTAAATGAATTTGTCACTAAGTGAGGAGCATACTATAATGGTAGTGGGTTTGTGTCAGCCATCTTTGATATTGTTTTAATGTCACCTTTGCACCATTTATAACATTTCTGGTATATTATTAAATGTTTATACAGTAGTGTACTTTTTTTTTTTTTCAACAAGTCGACCGTCTCCCAACGAGGCAGGGTGACCCAAAAAGAAAGAAAATCCCCAAAAAGAAAATACTTTCATCATCATTCAACACTTTCACCTCACTCACACATAATCACTGTTTTTGCAGAGTGCTCAGAACACAACAGTTTAGAAGTATATACAGTGGTCCCTCGTTTTTTGTAATTAATCTGTTCCTGGAGCCGTTACTACAAACAAAATTTGCGATTTGCGAATCAATTTTCCCCATAAGAAATAATGTAAATACAATTAATCTGTTCCTGACACCCAGAAGTATTAAAACAAAAAATTTTTTTACATGAAATATACATATAGTACATAAACAATACAATGGGAAATGATGAATGAAACATTAACAGCATAACACTTACCTTTATTGGAGATTCTTCTTAGTGTATGGGAGACTGGAGGAGGAGAGAGATTGGATTGTTTACAGTTTGGAAGGGGAATCCCCTTCCAGCAACACCTCAGGTACCAATTGCTTCTCTGGGGTTGCTTCTCTTCTCTGTTTCTTAATGCCACTAGGACCACCTTGAGAGTCACTCTAGCCCTGTCTCGCAAAGTAACTGTGGAGAGAGCTCTGTTTCTGGCGTCTCTTTAACACTTCCCGAAAATGGCCCAAGACTTTGTCACTGTACATATTTCTCACCTTCTTTACCACAGGCTTGGCACTAGGAGCTTTCTTTGGAGCCATGGTAGCTTATTTAGTACTTGCAAGCACTAAAATGAGTGGAATATTATGAAATATTTCGTAGGAGCACTTGAGGGGACCTTCACTCACTGGTAAACAATGCCAGACTGGCTGGGTAGGGAGGCCACCCCGGCTCACACCGTGCGTACGCGTCCCGGACGAACTACTATTCGCGAGTCAACCTATGAAAAGCGAGTCCATGTTTATACAAAAATACCCCTATGATTGGCAAAAGTTACGATTGCCGAGAACTACGAAAAGCGAGGGACCACTGTACGTATAAAGATACACAATGTATCCCTCCAACCTGCCAATATCTCAAACCCCTTCTTTAAAGTGCAGGCATTGTACTTCCCATTTCCAGGACTCAAGTTTAGTTATACAAAATAACCGGTTTCCCTGAATCCCTTCACTAAATATTATCCTGCTCACACTCCAACAGCTCGTCAGGTCCCAAATACCATTTATCTCCATTCACTCCTATCTACCACGCTCACGCAAGCTTGCTGGAAGTCCAAACCCCTCGCCCACAACACCTCCTTTACCCCCTCCCTCCAACCTTTTCGAGGACGACCCCTACCCTGCCTTCCTTACCCTACAGATTTATACGCTCTCCATGTCATTCTACTTTGATCCATTCTCTCTAAATGACCAAACCACCTCAACAAACCCTCTTCAGCCTTCTGACTAATACTTTTATAAACTCCACACCTTCTTCTAATTTCCACACTCCGAATTTTCTGCATAATATTTACACCACACATTGCCCTTAGACAGGACATCTCCACTGCCTCCAACCGCCTCCTTGTTGCAGCATTTACAACCCAAGCTTCACACCCATATAAGAGTGTTGGTACTACTATACTATCATACATTCCCTTCTTTGCCTCCATAGATAATATTTTTTGCCTCCACGTATACCTCAGTGCACCACTCACCTTTTTTCCTTCATCAATTCTATGATTAACCTCATCCTTCATAAATCCATCCGCTGATACGTCAACTCCCAAATATCTGAAAACATTCACTTCTTTCATACTCCTCCCCAATTTGATATCCAATTTTTCTTTATCTAAATCATTTGATACTCTCATCACCTTACTCTTTTCTATGTTCACTTTCAACTTTCTACCTTTACACACACTCCCAAATTTGTCTACTAACCTTTACAGTTTTTCTTTAGAATCTCCCATCAGCACAGTATCATCAGCAAAAAGTAACTGTGTCACTTCCCATTTTGTATTTAATTCCCCATAATTTAATCCCACCCCTCTCCCAAACACCCTAGCATTTACTTCTTTTACAACCCCATCTATAAATATATTAAACAACCATGGTGACATTACACATCCCTGTGTAAGACCTACTTTTACCGGGAAATAGTCTTCCTCTCTTCTACACACCCTAACCTGAGCCTCACTATCTTCATAAAACTCTTTACAGCATTTAGTAACTTACCACCTATTCTAAATCCATAAATGCAATAAAAACTTCCCTACCTTTATCTAAATACTGTTCACATATATGCTTCAATGTAAACACTTGATCTACACATTCCCTACCCACTCTAAAACCTCCTTGCTCATCCGCAATTCTACATTCTGTCTTACCTCTAATTTTTTCATAATAACCCTACCGTATATTGTAATAAACAGAATAGAGAAAATCGGCTCTAATATACAGTGGAACCTCAAATATAGAACTTTCTTCGGTCCAGAAGGCTGTTCAAGTGTCGCTACCGAACGAATTTATTCCCATCAGGAATAATGTAAATTAGATTAGTCCATTTCAGACCCTCAAAAATACACTTATAAAAGCACTTACAAAAATACACTTACATAATGGGTTGAGTTGGGAGCAGTTCGATTTTTGAGGTTCCACTGTACACTATTTAGGTATGCATACTTGTCAGAGAGTCCATCGTAAGTCTGTGTTGTTGGTAAAGTGAGTACGTTGCTAAGTGAGGGGAGACTGTACATTGTTTAATTTTTCTTGAACTTAGCAGTATATAGTTTTTCTTACATAACTTAATTGTGATTTTCCTCTTATAAATATCTGATAATTCTATTTTTATAGGTTTGAAGAGGAGAACATGATCAGGAAAGTGGTGAGTCGACGTGACAAAGCTGCCATGCGACAGATGACCACACTAGGCACAATGGGGTCTGAGATCTTAGGTTTTAACACTATGGATGCTCTACAGCATGATTATGACCCCTCAGCTCCAGCAGCCAAAAGACAAAAGACAGGAAAGTCTTCAAAAAGCAAAGGAAAAGGGAAATTTAAGGGCAAAAAAGGTTAGACCATCCATTTAATTGTTATACAGATGAACTAATTAACTTAGCACTGTTTAAAATCTCTGTTGTACCTAAGCTTTGAGTGTTGAGGCATCCTTTCAACACATTCTGTTGCTTCAGTTTTTTACATGGATATTAATTAAATTTCAAGACAACTAAACCAGTATGTGGATTTTTTTTAGCTAGTTTTTCAGATGCTTCTTCAAAAGTTTAATATTGAAGAGGTAATTTCCCTGACTGATAAAATCTTATTTGAAGCCACCCTAGGCTTTAAAGACAACACAGCATTAAATGAAGCTTTATTTAAGCTTCACTGTAAATTTACAAAATGGTACCTGTTAAAGTTCCACCATAAATTAAGATCTTTTCATTTTGCCATACTCAGAATTATTGTAGCATATTCATTTTAGTAATAACATTTCTGATTGACCTAGGTAGTAGGTTGGTAGACAGCAACTGCCCAGGGAGGTACCACCGTCCTGCCAAGTGAGTGTAAAACGGAAGCCTGTAATTGTTTTACACGATGGTAGGATTGCTGGTGTCTTTTTTTTTTTTCTGTCTCATACACATGCAAGATTTCAGGTACGTCTTGCTACTTCTACTTACACTTGGGTCACACTACACATACATGTACAAGCATATATGTACACACCCCTCTGAGTTTTCTTCTGTTTTCTTTCTAGTTCTTGTTCTTGTTTATTTCCTCTTACCTCCATGGGGAAGTGGAACAGAATTCGTCCTCCGTAAGCCATGCGTGTTGTAAGAGGCGACTAAAATGCCGGGAGCAAGGGGCTAGTAACCCCTTCTCCTGTATATATTACTAAATGTAAAAGGAGAAACTTTTGTTTTCCTTTTGGGCCACCCCACCTCGGTGGGATACGGCCGGTGTGTTGAAAGAAGAAAGATTTCTGATTGAATGATTGCGGTTGATAGGGGTTTAAACTACATGTTAATTTTATACATTTAAATTTATTGGTAAATAACAATAATTAGTGGTTAATTAATAATGAACTTTCATGCAATGTATTTGCTGTGTGAATAATTTTTTTTTAAACTATACTTTTCCTTTCAGGGTTCAAGAAGCAAAAGCACAGATTCTAGAGTAACAGCGAATCTCCACCTCCTGCATTATTTCGGGTTTTTATGCAGTTCTAAATTTCTTTTGAATGGATAACACTTGCTGTTAAATGTGAAGAGTTGTTGGAATATCTCTGTACTTTCATATACAAAGAGCTGGCAATTCATTTTAAATTCTAACAGGCTAATTAGATTTATCCAGTTGTCTGTTAAAGCCCTAGCATTATGTATGGTAAATGTAGAGTTAAATAAGCATTTCAACTAATGTCTGCTTTCATTTATTCTTGTACACACATTGTACTAAAGAATTGGTGCTACCCTCCCTTTTTTTTTTTTTCAACAAGTCGGCCGTCTCCCTCACCTTTCCCAGAGCAATACATTGCCTCTGTGAGTTAAAAGCTCCCTTGAGCTATTTTTTTTTTTTTTTTGTATTTACTCATTGGATGTTTCCCACCAAGGCAGGGTGACCCGAAAAAGAAGAAACACTTTCATCATCATTCACTTCATCACTTGCCAGAGGCCTGCTGTTACTACAGTTAAAAAACTGCAAAGTATCAACACCCCTCCTTCAGAGTGCATGCACTGTACTTGCCACCTCCAGGACTCAAGTCCAGCTAACCAATTTCCCTGAATCCCTTCATAAATGCTACATTTTTCACATTTCAACAGCACATCAAGTCATAAAAAACCATTTGCCTCCACTTGCTCCTGTGTAACAAGCTCATGCATGCTTGCTGGAAGTCCAAGCCCCTTGCACACAAAACCTCCATTCCCCTCCCTCCAAATTTTCATAGGACGACCCCTCCCCTGCCTTCCTTCCACTACAAATTTATATGCTCTCCAAGTCATTCTATTTTGTTCCACCCTCTCTAAATGTCCAAACCATCTCAACAACCTTTCCTCTGGCCTCCGGATAATACTTTCAGAAACCCTGCACCTCTTAACCTCCATGCTATGGATTCTCCTCATTATATTCACACCACGCATTCACCTCAGACACAATATCTCCACTGCCTTCAGCCTTCTTGTTGCAATATTCACCACCCATGCTTCACACCCACATAAGAGCATTGGTACCACTATACTCTCATATATTCCCCTCTTTGCTTTTAAAGAAAATAGTCTTTGTCTCCACAGACTCCCCAGTGCTCACTCACCTTTTCTCTCATCAATTCTATGATTCACCTCGTCTTTCATAGACCCATCTGCTGACAAGTCCATTCCCAAATATCTAAATACATTCACTTCCTCCATACTCCCTCCAGTCTGATATCCAATCTTTCATTACCTCAATTTTTTATGATCCTCACCACTTTACTCTTTCCTACATTCACTTTTAATTTCCTCCTTTTACATACCCTTCCAAACTCATTCACCAACCTCTTCAGCTTCTCTTCAGAATCTCCCAAAAGCTGTGTCATCAGCAAAAAGCAACTGCGACAGCTCGCACTTTGTGTTAGATTCTTTATCTCTCAATCCCACACCTCTTGCCAATACATGAGCATTTCTCTTACAACCCCGTCTATAAATATGTTGAACAACCATAGTGACATCACACATCCCTGTTTAAGGCCTACTATTACTGGGAAATAATCTCCCTCTTTCCTACATACTCTAACCTGAGCCTCACTATCCTTGTAAAAATTCTTAACTGCTTTCAGTAACCTACCACCTATTCCATACATTTGCAACATCTACCAAATTGCTCTCCTATCCACCCTATCATATGCCTTTCCCAAATCCATAAATGCAACGAAAAACCTTTTCACCCCTAGCTAAATACTGTTCACCTATATGCTTCACTGTAAACACTTGGTCAGCACACCCCCTACCCTTCTTAAGCCTTAAACTGTCCAAACGTAGATCTACATTCACTCGCATGGCACTCCAAATATTTTGAAAAAAAAAAAAAATAGTTTTTTTCTTTTAAAATGAAGAGCACATTTTTCTACATATTATAGGATTAAAAAAAAAATTTTAGGGTCAGTACTTACCGAGATATAAGACTGTGAAGTTGGCTGTGGATGCTCACCTGACGGCAACATCGATTCCTGCCACCTGCAGAAGTGTTGCTGATATACTTTTTTTTCTCGTTTTTATTTTAGATACCCTGGCATATACTACCTTGAAGCATGTTATGAAAGGCATCTCTATACTGTTGACAGCCCAGTGACATTTGATAAATACCCACTGCTCTAGCTAACTCTCGCTGTATTTGTTATCACTGTCACACACAAGCATGTCTTGTCTCTCTGTCTATTTATCTGTCTGTCTATGTCTATCTGTCTGTCTCTGCTTATCTTTCTGTCTGCCAGGAGTACATTATATGTATATCACACTCCTTGAAGAATCGTGTTATGACATCTGTTATCAGCTCGGTGACATTTGATAAATGGGTGCTTGGGGAGCCCTGGCTTTATTTGTTTTCACTGATACCCACAAACATGTTTCTGTCTATCTGTCTGTCTGTCTGTCTATCTGTCTGTCTATCTTTGCCTGGAATTTTTGGGTTATCCTAGGTAATTTACACTATGTATAATAACTGTACTTATGTGTACATGTGAGACAGAGATATAGATAGACAGAGATATAGATAAACAGATATATACATAGACAGAGATATAGATAGACAGAAATATAGACAGATAGAGATATAGACAGAGAGACAGCCAGAGACAGTCAAAGCAAACAGCCGGCCACCCTGCCAAATACATAAGAACATAAGAAAGAAGGTACACTGCAGCAGGCCTACTGGTCCATGCAAGGCAGGTACATGTCGCCCCACCTCTGGCTTAGACCAATGACCCACCTAGTCAGGTCACATCCATTGAAGGAAGGAGCATGACATCAGACCTAGTAGCACAAGCTAGTCAGGTCCAACTCACACCCACCCACACTCACTCATGTATTTATCTAACCTATTTTTACTTTCCTCTTAAAGTGGGAGTGTTAATGCGACATGGCATCAGTGAATCCATGGTGTTTGCCACGCTACTTGATCTAGCTGGCACTCAATTGAATTTGTGCTCCCACGAGGTACTAAGTGCTCCCAGATATTTTTAATAGTGTGCACACTGAGTGCACAGACCCATTCTTTCATGTCTAGGCGACTCAAGCCTATTGTGCCAAATTTGAAGGAATGAAAAATAAAACGTTGATCTACATTTGGAGTGCTACGCGTGCAAACGTAGATCTATGTTTGGACAGTTTAAAGGTTAAAGCCTCCTTGTTCATCTGCGATCCTGCTGTCTGTCTTACTTTTAACCCTTTTGAGGTTAGTCCCGTTGTATTATGGCTTTGAAGCCTGTGCTGGTCCTGTAGTATGCCATGAGCTCAGCTCACTCATAGTAGTAAATTTGGGCCTATATATGAGAGAATGGGTTAATGTATGCATCATATAAAAAAATCCTGGAACATGCAGTGCATATTGAGAAAAAACTGCAACACTGTTTTGGTTTCAAACAGCAAATTTGCCATGTATTTTTGTGTTTTTTTATGGTTGTATTCTCAGCTTTTTGGTCTCATTTGATAGAATGGAAGATATGTTACAGAAATAGAGATAATTTTGATTAGTTTCAGGACTGAAAGTTGCTTGAAATTGAGCTCAAAATAGTGGAAATGTTCAGTTGTTGCCGATATTCCAGAGTACACAGATGATGTCACTTGTCCAGTAAGCATCCAACTAGCCAGTCTAGTACACATTTAGGAATGCATTGACATTATTTATACAATTACAGTGGTACCTTGACTTATAAGTGCCCCAACTTACGAGTTTTCCAAGTCACGAGCTGTCGCTCGGTAGATATTTTGCTTTGAGTTGCAAGCCAAAATCTGAGTTACAAGCGAGCTTCAGATACGCTGCCACTCGCAGGAGATACCAAGGAAATTTCAAAAACCTCGATAATAACCAATGTGTAACATCCTTTTAATTTTGATACCACTGGTAGTGTCATCCTGCCAGAATGTTCTATAACCTGTGCCCTAAGTAAAGAGCAACAATTCTGGAACACTGTAATACATGTTCGGCAGGCCGGCTGTTTGGCTTGTCAGCTGGCTGGCCGGCTGACTCGCTGGCTGGCTGGCTGTATCTAGTATCTCTGTCTCTGTCTATCTGTATATCTGTCTATCTCTATCTCACAGGTACATACACATAAATACAGTTATACATAGTGTAAATTACCTAGGATAACCCAAAAAATCCAGACAAAGTGCTGTACTATGCTTGTAGATATAAAGCATAATGAGCATGACTGGCAAGTAATACACATTTTTACTTGTTCTGCATAGTGTGTAATACCTGTTGGTTCATGAGCAGCTCTCTCTCTGAGACAGAGAGACAAGTAGAGAGACAGGAAGACAGAAACACAGGCAGACAGAAAGATAAGCAGAGACAGAAATAAATATAGACAGAGCTAGACAGACAGATAAACAGAAACAGACAGACATGTTTATGTGTAACAGTGAAAAATAAATCCTAGGCAGTGCATGATCATCAAATGTCACTCCACTGCTACACTGTCAGCAGTGGAGTGACACTCATCTTATACTGTGCTTCAAGGAGTTTCATACATACTCCTGCATTTCTAAAACATTGCTGGGACCTGTCAAATATGGCAAATATCATATCTTATTTATAAATGCATTTTTCTTATTTAAAAACTCATAACAAAAAAATTGGGGTGGTTTTTTGGGTCCTCTTTGGCATTTTCTTCCAAAAGAGGCCTGTTTCGTCACAATTGAACACTTGTTCAGGTTTCAGTCCTTCAGCCTCTATGTACTCCTTGAATTCACTTACGAATTTTGTAGCTGCAATTTTGTCCAAACTGGCAGCCTCACCATGCCTTATCACACTGTGTATGCCACTACAGTTCTTAAATCTCTCAAACCAACCTTTGCTGGCCTTAAATTCACAAATATCAGTACTCGTTACAGGCAATTTCTCTATCAGATCGTCATGCAACTGCCTAGCCTTTTCACAAATAATCGACGTCATAAGTTTATCTCCTGCTAATTGTTTCTCTCGTTTATCCACACCAATAATAACTTCTCAACCTCTTCGAGTACTGGTGATATCATTTTTGTCAGCATATTTACCCCCTTTGCAACAACAGCTTCCTTGATTTCCTTTTTCTTGGCCACGATGGAAGATATGGTTGTACGGGATTTGTTATACATCCTGGCCAGTTCGGCCACACGTACGCCACTTTCATATTGTTCAATGATTTTTTCTTAAATTCAATTGTATTTCTCACCTACTTTACCAAA